GGAAGGAAGGAAGGAAGGAAGGAAGGAAGGAAGGAAGGAAGGAAGGAGAGAGAAGAGGAAGATAGTTGGGTCCTTGGTGCTCTCTGAGTTTGGTGCTTTCCTTGCAGACGTTTCATGACCCAACTAGGCAACATCCTCAGTGCTAGAAAGGAAAGGGGGGGAATTGCTCTCTGTTGATATGTAGTGGCTAAAGCAAGCAACAGCCTAATCAAGGAACCACTGTGAAGAAAATGACAGTCCAATCAATACCGATATATCAAGCCACTTGTATAAAAAGAGAGAGCAAACCCCGCCCTCTCTTCCAGCACTGATGATGTTCCCTAGTTGGGTCATGAAATGTCTGCAAGAAACCCACCAAGCTCAAAGGGCACCAAGGACCCCACAGTTCTTTTCTTCCTCCTCCTCCTCCTCATTTCCACAAACCCTCCTCCTTTCTAGCTCTGATGATATGACTTAGCTGGATAATAAAACATCTGCATGAAAACAAGCAAGCTCAGGCACCACCAAGGACCTCTGTTCTCCTCCTCCTCCTCCTCTTCCTCCTCCTCTTCTTCCTCCTCCTCTCCCCTTGCTCCAATCCGCAAACCCCCCACCCTTTTAGCTCTCGCGATATTACCTAGTTGGGTCATGAAACGTCTGCAAGAAAACCTTCAAGCTCAGAGAGCACCAAGGACCCAACTATCTTCCTATTCTCTCTCTTTCCTTCCTTCCTTCCTTCCTTCCTTCCTTCCTTCCTTCCTTCCTTCCTTCCTTCCTTCCTTCCTTCCTTCCTTCCTTCCTTCCGTGATGATGTTACCTAGTTGGGTCATGAAACGTCTGCAAGGAAACCACCCAGCTCAGAGAGCACCAAGGACCTCACAGTCCTTTTCCTCCTCCTCCTCCTCCTCCTCCTCCTCCTGTTCCCCTTCCACAAACCCTACTCCCTTCTAGCACTGATGATGTTACCTAGTTGGGTCATGAAACGTCTGCAAGGAAACCACCCAGCTCAGAGAGCACCAAGGACCTCACAGTCCTTTTCCTTCTCCTCCTCCTCCCCATCCTCCTCCCACCTTCTCCACCTCCTACAATATGCAAGCCCTCCTCCCTTCCAGCTCTAACGACGTTACTTAGTTGGGTAATGAAAGGTCTGCAACAGATACTCCCAGCTTAAAAAGCAACGGGGACCGTCCCAACCGTCTTCCTTTCTCCTCCTCCACAAACCCTTCTATCCCTGATGACGCCACCTAGCTGGGTCATGCGACGTCCGCAGGAATACCCTCCCTAACCTCAGAGAAGCACCGAGGACTCCCAAATCGTGACTTTCCTGGGCCACGACCACTCCTCCTCCCACCGTACCCCCTGAGGGAAGCGGACGGAAGGCGAGGGGGAGAATTTACCTGGCGGGACACTGTAACGAGTGGCGTTCATGTCCGGCTGGGGCGAAGCTTTGTTCATGTCCCGGGGAGAGAGGCGGTAAGGTGAGCCCGATCGGGCCGCTGCGTTCTGCATCTGGGCTTCCTGATCCATGGCCCGCTTGACTTCGGCATAAGGCATGTAGGCCACTGTCTTTGCTGGCAAGAGGAAAAGGAAGAGCTTCGGTCGAGCGAGACAAATTACGGCATCGTAATCTTTATTTTTTATTTAATTCACATCCTTAGGAGCGGTGGGGACCTCTCGCCTCACAATCAGGAGGCTGTGAATTCGATCCTAGGCAGAGGCAGATATTTCTCTCTCTGGCCAGGATGAGAATTAATCGGCTGGGGGGGGAAAAAAAACTCCGCACTGGTGACCAGAAGGGCATCTGGCCAGTCAAACACTCCGCTCCATTCAGTTGCCCAAACTCCACCCTGCAAAGGGATTATGGAGTTGTTAAAGGAGGAGGATTATTTAATTCACGTCCTTAAAACTACGAACTCCCCCCCCAAAAGGTAAAGAAATACAACAAAACTAAATGAGATATTTAAAAATGTACACAGGAAAACAAACCAACAAAAAAGAGCACTCCCCAGGTCGTCCTCAACTTACGACTGCGTTTGAGCCCGACGTTTCTGTTGTGGAGCGAAACAGCTGTTAAGCGAATTCTGCCCCATTTTTATGACCGATTTCAAAAATACAGTTAGTCCTCGGTGTGCAACAGCTGGTTTAGTGACCGTTCAAACTTACAACAGTGCTGAATAAAAGCGGCCGATGAGCGGTTTTCGCACTTACGACCTTTGTTAACGTCCCCATGGTCGCGGGATCAAAATTCAGACGCTTGGTAACTGACCCGCAGTTATGACCGTCGTTGTGCCCTAAGGTCACGGGACCCCCCCTTTGGCGACCTTCTCACGAGCAAAATCGATGGGGAAGACGGATTCACTTAACGACGGTCTGACTAACTTACCAATGGCGTTTGTAAAAACGGGGCCAAAAATACTTCACAAATGTCTCCCTGAACAACAGAAAATTTGGGCTCATTTGTGATCGTTTAAGTCGAGTAGTAGCTGTACACGCCAGCCGCCAAGTGCAGTCGTACCTCGGGGACTCGACTGCTTCCCAACGTGACCAATTCAGCATTCGACGCATTTTGAAGCAATTCAAAGTTTTTCCACGGATTCGACGTGCAAAAAATTTGCTCTTTTCCCTCCCAGAATAGCGGTATCCATCGGTTTTAATATCCGTCGCGTCTTCTGGAATGAATTACCCCCACCCAAGGTACACACCCCGCCCCCGTATCTCAATTTTGATCACATCACCCCCGCCAAGGACGCCGCGACAATCGTTAAGTGTGAAAAACACCCCTAAGTCCCTTTTTGCAGCGCTGTGGTCACTTTTGAACTGACATGACCCTGTCGGAATCTGACTCAAGAGGAGGAAGCCGAACAGCGGACTGAGTGGGAGTGTGGCTCCGTTGGCTATGGGAGAAACTGGGGAAGGGCAAAGTCCGGCTGGGCAGAGCAGGGAAGAGGTAGAACAAGGGACAGGTAGAACAAGGGAGAGGGAATTCAAAGGAAAACCCAGGCCTACCCCTTCTTCATCCTAGGGCACGCACACAGGAAGGAACGGAGAAGGGAGAAACGTCGGTTGCGTGGCTTACGGGGAGGAAAGGGCCCTGATTCCCTTCATTAGCTGCCGCTGGGAACACAGTGTTTGAAAAGGGAAGCTGCGTGCAGCAAGTTGTTGGGAGCAAGCGTGAACGTGGCTTATCTGTGTTCCTGGCCTCTTCCCAACTGTGTGAGTTTTGCCATGCTTTCAAGTCTGAAATTCCTTCTCCTGCCCTGTCAAGTTAATTAGTTAATTAGCTCGGTTTGTTTGAACTTTTAAGTTACAGTTTGTGTTGACCACGTTTTGGACTGGATTCTCTGCATCCCAAGGCTGTTCCTGAGAGAGTTTTTCTCCAGCCCAGAAGGTAACCTGGATATTGGGGGGAAAATTGGAGATAACAAAGGGACTCTTCTTGCTTATCTGACTGAGTTGCCTTTGTGCCACGCGCCGGGGCATCACATGAACGGTCACTGAAGGGACGGTGGTAAGTCGAGGACTAATGGGCAGGCCAAAACAGGTACGATGAGAAATGGTGACGCTACTCTCGATTTAATGACAGAGGAGCCGAACCAGCTCTGCCGCGGCTTCGATGCCTGATTCCAAACATGGTTTAAGGGCCCTGCTGGCACGCAAACAAGCAGAGTTTCTGTTTTTAGAACAGCTTCGTTCCTCGCTGTACCTCCCTGGTTTCGGCCTTGGCACAAGGCGGTCTGGTCAGCCTGCCCCGGTTTCTCAGGCTCCCCCTGTGAAACTTATAGCCTGTTGTTTCACTGGAGTCCAACAGCTGGCAAGGCTGCAAATCAAAACCACAGGGCCTGTCTCTATCTTGCTTCAGGGTTTTGACCGGTGGCCAGGCCAAGAGAGAGCCCTGGAAGGACGCCCGGGAGAGAAATGTGTGGGATTGGCTGGCTGGGGGATTCTGGGAGTTGGAGTCCTCCCCTCTTAAAGCATCCTGGCTGGGGCATTCTGGGAATTGGAGTCCTCCCCTCTTAGAGGAGTCTGGCTGGGGGATTCTGGGAGTGGAAGCCCTCCCCTCTTAAAGCAGGCTGGCTGGGGGATTCTGGGAGTGGAAGCCCTCCCCTCTTAAAGCAGGCTGGCTG